TGGCAAAGGAGCCTGCCTTTTCCCTGGGGCCATCTCAGCTGCCCTGTGTGGTGTGGGCAGCAGCAATAGCAACAGCAAGAGCCTTGCCCATTTCGAGCAGCAGCGGACTTCCCCACACACCACCAGACTGGGAAATCCTGCAAAAAGATGAACAGGCTGCTAGCTAAGATCTAGACAAAAACTCGTGGCCAAGACAGAAACCAGCAACAAAGGGAAGTACAGGAGAGAAGAGTGGGAAGCTAAACTTCATTGCTAGAAAGGCAACCCAAGTACCTACAACAGCTTCCTTAGAAATGCTTCTGGTTTCATGCACATGGTGAGCTGGGGTGTGGTAAGCTGCAGGCAGCCAGAGGTACTGACTTAGAACTGATATTAAAAACCAAGGACATTTTAAATGCATGAGACCGACTCAAGGGAATTTCTGCACAAAGCTGTAGAAGTTGCACCAGAAAAACAGCACCTAAATCAGTATAGCAGGAACAGTAAACAAGTGTTGTCTATAGCCAAGGGAGAAAAGGCCTGAACTTCCAGGGAGCAGTCCCAAAAATTAATTCCCAATATCAAAAGCATATTAGAGTATGCAGAATAAATACAAAGCCAGGGCAGTCGAAAACTTAGGCACCCATCCACCCTACACTGAAGGAGAAAATTTGTCTGAGGAACTGAACATTAGTTGGACAAAGGGGAACAGGGAAAGAAAAAGGTAGCAAAGAGCCCAGACCAGAATAAAAAAAGGGTGAGAGAGCATTTATCCCATGTAACTCAGTATCCTCCAGAAGGACGAGCCACAGGGTGCAGTTTAATCTCTTGACAGTATTTTTGTGGACAAAAATCCCATATGACATAATTTACAGGATGACTTTATGCTTCTGCTTGCTTTCATTTTAGGAAAGGAGTGGATGCATGCAGCTGCCCTGGTGTGTTTGGTCTGGGCCACCTAATTAAAAACTACCAGTAAGGGAAGGAAATGTCACCACAGAGAAGCCATCAGTCAGTATCTTCGAGGTTGCTCTCCCAAATGGCTGCAGCATGGAACAGCTGAGCCACTAAATATAATAAGACAATAATTGAGCCACTAAACCACTTTTTTAATATAATTAAGAGGTCAAGAGATTTCAGCAAAGAGACTACTCTTACACTGTTTGGCTTTCAGTACAACACAGGTGTTTGAACTTCATCTTGTAAATCCCTTGTGGAAGCAGGCCACAGCTAGCACAGTAACAAAATTTACAGCAGAAGACAAATGAAATAGCTAACTAAAAGACATACATCTGGATTCTTCAAGAAAAAAAAAGGCCCTGAGAAACTGGAAAGGATCCAGCATAATGCCACTAATGCAGTGAAGAGCCTGGAACATAGCAGAGAGCAAACTGGGTTTATTCAGCTTGAAGAAAAGATGTTTAAGGAGGGATTTAACACTTGTCTGAGACTACCTAAAAGGGGCCGTGGGGGTTTAGAGATGATGAGTCAGGTTCTGTTTTGTGGGACACAACATAAAGACAAGAGGCAACAGGCATCACTTGCAGCAAGGGAAATTCTGCTTAGGTATCAGGAAAAACTGCACTTGTGCTCCCCCCCAAGGGGGTTCAGCACTTGCCACAGGTCCCCAGAGCAGCTGAGGAACCTCCACCCTGGCTGCTGTCAGCACTCAGGCCCTGAGCCACCTGAGCTAGTTTTGGGGCAGCAGGGGTGGGACTAGGCAATCCAGAGGTCAAAGTGGTTGTCAAAGAAGAGCAGAGAGAAAGACTGTGCATAGAGTTTCTTTTGCCCTCCTACTTCCTAAGCCTCTGTTAGCAGCTACTTGCAGTCAACTGTCAAATGCATAACAAATTTTGTGCCCTTTGGCAAAGAGCTCTATTGCTCAGTTACAGAAACACCCCCTCCTTTGACTTGCTTATAACCTGCTCCCAGCCTCTTTTTTAACACCTGGTTGCTGCAAAGAAAGGAAAATCTGGGTGATTCCTGTTTCTTACCCCCTGCTCCAAGCTGCTCATGGTAACAGACCTGAAACATCTGTATCCATCCTCAACTCTTTGCCAGGAAGAAGACTCCAGCCCTACTAAGAGGTTTCTTTTTGTAGAGAACTATTCTGTACTTCTGACCACCTTTGCTGTCCCTCTCAGAGATATTTCCAATTCTGGCATTTTGATTTGGAGATAAGAGTGAAGGTGGGCACAGAACTGTGGTGTTCAGAATGCTGGTGAATCATGGACAGTGATGATTTCTGCTGTTCACTACAAGCTAACAACTGCATGGACTTCTATAATCAAGGAGAGGTTATCATTAGTTCACAGTCATTGTTGTATATGCAATTTTTCTATTATTTTTCTGTATGAACATTGTTTTACATAAGCCTTTTCATCTCCTGTTCTATTGCCCCCTCAATCACTGCCATTAGGTCTTTCTGAAATTATTCACAAGTCAACTCCCACCCTGTTATCCTCAATAACTTTCTATCATCATCCAATTTTCTCACCTCACCAAGCTGTATTCCCAGGTCTCTTGGGAATATACTGAACAGCATGTATATCAGATAAGGCCCCTGTGATCTGACCAGTGATGACTTCCCCTTGCTATAAAAATGGGATATTAATTCCCACCTTCCATTTACTATTCTCTAGTAATTCTTTACCCAAGAAAACCGTCACCTTCTTTTTTTAATGTTGTGATTTCAGCCTTATTTGAAGATGTGGATGAGAAAATCTTGTCAAATTCTTCAAATCCAAGCAAACTGTACTGGCCAGACCTGCCTTATCCTCAAGCTTGCTAAGTCCCTCAAAACCCTCTAGTTTTACAGGACCATATCTGCCTTTACAAAAGCAGAGGCTGGTGCTTTCTTTATTATCATATTCATTGCTTTCCCCATTATACTGTGCACCCTCTTGCTCAGATAATAACTTTATTGTTCCATGCTTCCCTCACATTTTGGGGGAGCTAATTTGGAGCCCTTTTTGAGAATGAGCATTTCATGTGTTACGGAGATGATTTCAGACAGGAGGTTTTGCTGTTCTGTACGGAAGTCTGTTGTAATTCAGGCATTAGTGCAGAGCACAGGCTGCCTGGGGACAGGCAGATGGACCATCTTCTTGTGATTTGCCAAAGCCACATGCTCTCCATCAGGCCTTGGGGCTCCAGCACAGTGCTAGACCACTGTGGTTGCCCAAATTCTTACCACAGAGTCATGCCAGTGCAAATCCCATTTCCTGACACCCTTCCACAGCAGTCTCCAGAGCAAGGTACCTGTTTGGACTGACTGTGAGGATTGTATGTCCTGCTTTTTGTTCCATAAAGGGCTAGATAGACTGCAGCAAATAAAGGAGTAACTAGTATTTTAAAGGCCAGGCAGTTGACATCTCTCTCTGCAAAACCATTCAGAGATGCTGCAGCTGCAGGGTGACAGAGGAACTGCAGCAGACTGGGCATCACAAACCCTGTTTGCTCATTATCAAAGGGAGAAGGACCAACAGGAAAAACGTAAAGCACAGCGAGCTCCAATCCTCTGGCGACCTTTACCAGAGGGGTCAGCCCTCTGGCTACCTCTAATAGGCAGCTCCTATTAAAAACTGGGGGGTTTTCCCTTTTGTGCCCGATTCCTACTGCTGATATTTTTATTTTTCTCACCAGCAACTCTTGTTTTCTTGCCCTAACTAGCATTCACAGCACTCACCCACGGGATGGCATCGGGGTCTTGTCTCTCAGATCCCCACTGATGGAGGACTGACAGGAGCTGGTGGAGGAAGTACCACAGCCCTCAACCAAGGGGGTCCCACTAAAGAAAATAAAGCAATATTGGAATTACCAAGAAAAGATCTTGAAAGGGATTTGGGGGAGAGATCAAAAGACCTTGCTAGCGAGGAGAGGTGGCGTGGCACGCTGGCGGCGGGGCTGGGTGCTCATGGCGGTGAGCGCCGGGGCGCTGAGCAGCAGCTGGCGCTGCCTGCGGGCGCTGCACCTCCCGTGACTCACCTGAGCCCGGCGCGCACCGGCGAAGCCCCGAACTCCGCCCGCTCCCGGGCGGACCGAGATAGCTCCAGGTCAGGCAAACCTCAGGCCTCAAGCCGCGGGCTTAATTTGCACCATTTGCAAAGCACTTCCTGGACTGGAGTTAATGAATAATCAGAGGGGTGGGGGAAGGCCAAGGCCAAGCTCGGAGAGGTAGATGGAGACGGAAGGGACCGACTGCTCTTCCTGCCTCCCATCCACTGAGCTCACGCCCTCGCTGGCTGCATTCCTGCCCGGTTTGTAACTGGGAGCACGGAACGCAGCTCGCTCACACCTGGCTTGCAGCTCCCTGCTCTCCCAGGCCTGGCTCCTTCACGCTCAGCCCTTTTCTCCCCCCTTCTGTCGCCAAAGACCTCGACTCTTCCAATGGCAACAGAGACAAAGGGCAGGAGGCTACAAGCGGACATACCTGATGTCCCTCTGAACCACACTGCAAAGAAAACATTGCAAAGGAGCAAGGCTGCACCACTAGGTTGATCCCCCTGCAGTCCAAGAAAAAACGTGAGATAAAAATTGTATGTTGTTTATGTTGTTCTAATCCAGGCTGCAGCCAAATGGGGCTCGGCCACTCCCTGCTGCAGCTCTCTTCTGCCTTTTGCACTAAGGATAATGTGCTGGATTGCACATTCAGCCACAAAAGGCAGCCACAGGCACTGGGGGCAGGAGTAAATTAGCACTGACCCTGCTGGGACAGGAGCCTCAATGGCATTTACAACACTTGCTGAACAGCACTAGATTGTGTTGAGGGACACGTTTCCTAGTATGCTTCAAACAGAAGGTCTGGAAATGCTTGCCTTTGTAAAGTGCTTAATACCTGTCACCCTGATATAAGATCCTCGGGCTTCACACTGAGACTCTGCGCAAACCTTTTTGCAGAAGATGGCACATACTGGGCCTCCCAAAACAGCGTTGCAAGTGTCATGCAGAGAGCACTGCTGTACCTGCCTCTGCAGCAGGGAGCAGCACTGCTGAGCTCACAGCCATTCATAAAACACGGGCACTTTCAACACACGTTTTATTCACGAGCAGACACACGAGCAGGCACGAAGCATCCCATTCCTTCCAGGGCCGCGTCTCCCTTGTTCAAGCGCCCCATTCCCAGGGCTGACAGGACCTGCACCTTGGAAGGAGGGCACCAGCCGGAGCACCGGGAGAACTCCGCGGGCTCAGGACGCAGCAACTCCGCCAGTGCCGGCCCCGTGCGGCGGCAGCGTCATGGGCGGCAGGAACATGGCCTTGAGCTTGCCGGCCATGCTGGCGATCTCCGGGTCCTGCGACTCGTAGGACTTGATGAGCCGGGCGAACTTCAGGACGCCTGCAAGGAAAGGGGGTGGGCGGGACGCCCCGCTGCCCCGGCGGGCCCGGAGCATCCCGCCCGGCGGGGGAACAACCCACCTTCGCCGTCGCTGCTGAACCCGTAGGCCTTGATCACGTCCTGCTGGATCTGGGTGGCCACGGGCAGGAGGAACTGCAGCATCTTGCCCATGTCGTTGCAGGCGTTGTCCCGAGCCTCCTCCATGCGCTGCGCGTTCTCGGGCGCCCCGAACGCCTTGATCACCTCCGCCAGCACCGCTGCAGGACGCGAGCGCTCAGCCGCCCGCCGGCCCCCCGCGTCCAGCCAGGCGACACGGGCGCCCCGCCGCCGGCCCGCCCGGGAGACGGAGCCTCCCGCACTCACCCTTCGCCTGCTCCGCGCTCAGCGCCGGCGGCACCGAGGGCTGCGCGGAGGCCGCCATGGGGCGCGGCGGGGCGGCCGCGGCTCCGGTACCAGACCGAGCGGCAGCGACTCCGGTACCAGACCGAGCGGCAGCGGCCCCGGTGCCAGACCGAGCGGCAGCGGCCCCGGTGCCAGACCGAGCAGCGGCCCCAGCCTGGCCCGGCCCGAGCGCGGCTGCGCCTCCCCGCCCCGTTCTGCCATTGCACTGCCGGTGGGAGCGGCTTCCCGCGAGCGCGGGAAACCTGCTGGACAAATTCTAAAAGAGCTGAGATCACTGCCGGGCTTCCGCCCCGGCCGAGGAGCCCCTCCCGGCCGACCCACCCCAGGTGAGGGCGAGATCCGCTTCTCCCTTGTATGGTCTCTTACATGGGTCCCCGGCCCGGTGCCGCCCGCCCGCCCCGCTCCACGCCGATACCGGCGGCCTCCGCCGCCGCCGAGCGGACCCGGCCGTGCCGCCCGGTCCGTATGCAAATTTATCGCTTCTCATTGGCCCGCGGTGCGCACGCCCCGCCCCTCCCGCGGTGGCACGGCTCCTGCCCAGCGGCTCCCCCGAGCCTTTCCCGAGGCGGTGCCCACTTGCAGCCTCTCCCAGTTTTCACCGGGAGTGCTTCTGCCCTTCCCGTTCTAGCCCCACTGAAAAGAAATGAACACACCAGAGTCCCGTTTCTGAAAGGGTTTTTTTGTCTTTTTTTTTTCCTTTTTTAAGAGCTTCATATATATATTTATATATATATATAAATTATTAGAATGTGTGTCAGGGCTCGGGAGTGCGTGGGGAACATCGTTTGGGTGGTTGTTTTTCTTTCTTTTCCATAGCTGGGTTGTTGGTTGTTTTCTCCTTTAATGGTTAAGTAAATATATATATATATGGGGGACCAATCGAGAGATACAACTGTGAAATCAGAACACGCACGCAGGGGCAAGGGAGTCACAAGTTGCTACATAAAACTGCCACGTCTAATAGGATGTGCATGAGTTAAAGTACATCAATTAGGATGGGTGAGGGGAAAGGGGCAGCCACCATCTTTACAGACAGTCCCAGGACGCAGTGTAACCGCTGGGCCATGCCAGCTCTCCCCACGGGGCTCAGAGGGGTCACGGTGCTGATGGCAGCCTCCAAAACAGTCTGCTGGTGCTTCGCACCTTGTGGCCATGCCCGTTCCCGGCAGCTGAGGAAAGCACAGCCACCGTCCTGCAAACAGTCCTGCGGTGCTTTGCACCCCGATGGCTGGGACCGGACCCTCCGCAGGCAGGAGAGGCTGCTCAGGAAGGGACCTGGAACGCTTTGTTTGCATCTGAAGGGGTGTCGGGAGAATGGGAAGCTGCTCTGGCTAAATCTGAAAAAGTTCCACGTTGCTTTTCTGTATCGCTAAGCAGTATCTTACACCTAAAGGGGGGGTGGGGTGTTGAGGAGGCATCTCGAAAAAAGGCTCTTTTGTGTTTGCGGTTATTTCTCGGCCGCACCTCCTCCTTGCAGAAGCAGAAAAGGCAGGAGCATCCTGTACATGAAGTCCCGCAATGCTCTGCACTTTTTATTTAATGCAACTGTTCCCCCAAAACAAAGGATGGAGCTCCTGCCACCCTGAATTCATCTCAGTCTTTGTCTTTCTGAGCTCTGTACAATGCTGATTCTCTTCTCTTCAGAGCTCAGCTGAAATCACGTACCAATCGCTTCAGGTCCATTAGTGGTGTTTCAGTCCCTCCCCATTTTCTCTCCTCCACTTTTCCCAGGATGCCATCCCATACTTTCTGTCATCTTCTCTAGTACTCTACTGCATGGTGGGATCAGGATGTGTCACTTTGCAGCTTCCCTTCCCCCAGGATTTGGTTGATTGATTGCTTCTCTTGAGAGAAAGACATGATGATGTCACACTGACAGTAGAAGTCCATTTAAAGGGGTTTGTCACTTTCCTTCTTCAGGTGGCTAGGATAAAAAGAACAAGGTGACAGTGAAAGGGAAAAAGGTAATTTACACCATTCCCCTGCCTTTGTTCATCTGGACCCATACAACGCTGCTGGCTTGGGAGGTTTTGTAGATCCTTTAAGAAGGAGATACTATTGAAAAGGTACAACATTCCACCTCTCTCTTTCCCAGTGTGCCTCCCCATGCACGCGTGAATTCCTTATCTTGGCAAAATCATCAAACCCTTATAAATGTTTTGTATTTTGGCAGGGGTATCGGTTAGTCATAACTGCATTAACATGTGTGAAACACAATAAAGTTATCTCCCCCCTCAGCGGGAGGAGCTGAGATCTCACAAGGGACTAGCCACTGAATAGTCACTTGCCAAGTATGATCTTCCTGGTGACCAGCCATAGCGGTGCCCCATGGCAAAGCATCCCCATTCCCGGTGTGGGCTTGGGCACAGTCACCCGCTCCATGGGCAATGCTTCCCTGTTCCCACTGCCTGTGCCAGCCCCACGGCAGGGCTGGGCCTGGAGGCGTTCTTGTGAGGAGAGAGCAGCTCCACGCACCTGTAGTAGTCCTCCTGCGTGGGGAGCGGCACGCCGTGCAGGGGGTGGTGGGCGTGGAGCCACTGCTGCTGCTCCAGAGCCAGGCGCTGCAGCTCAGCCGACTGCGCGTGCATGGCCTGCAGCTGGTGCGCCGCCGACATGGGCGCCGAGAGGGAGCCCGGCAGGTCCCTGTAGGGTGCGGCTGCAGCCAAAGGTGACACAGAGAAGAGCAGAGTTAATGCTCCATCCAAGACCCTGCTGCACCCCCATTCCCATCCCTGCCCATGTGCAGGACCTGCTCATCCTGACAGCGTGGGCCTGTCCTAGGCTCTGTTTAACAGACATCAGTTTGGTCCTGTGACGCCTCAGGATGCCCCTGCCCCTCGGAACTCCACTGATGCCCTTTGGAGTACAGCAGACCCTGTGAAGTTCCTTACCAAAGAGCTGGTGGCGCAGCACTTCATTCTCATGTAGAGGGTGAGGCAGGAGAGGGTTGGGGATGGTTCCAGCCGGGTATGGTATCCGGGTGAGGTGCGATCCCGAGGCGAGGGGGTCGATTAGAGGGTGAACGGAGGCTGAGGCTGGGAAGAAAAGATACCACAGATAATTGTCCCAGGCTTTGTAGCAGGTAACACAGAGACAGGCACAAGGCCTCACAGAACAGATATGTAGACAGAGAGTCAGAGCATGTTAGGGATGGGATGATGTCACAGCTAAACAATACACTGTCATCTCCTTCTGAGCATTACTCTTCTTGTCTGCATCGAACTTCACGTGAACTGGTCTGGCAGAGCTCTGTCCCTGCACTACTGCTCCTCAGAAGTACAGCTCCTTAGAAGTTCAGCAGGGTTCTGCAAGGACCTGCTCTGCAATCAGGTCTGCACCCCATATCGTGCCCATCTGTCACCCCGACAGCCATTCACGTGCATACTTGTACTGGGTGCTTTCTTTTCCAGGTCTTATCCAGGACAGATTCTCTTTCTAGTGGTTTGGACTCCCAGCCAGACTAAGGTGCCCAGCCATGGATGGTAGGGAAAGTGCACATTCACTTGTGCCTCATTCCATCTCTGAGCAGTTGCAGCTGCTCAGAGCCAGCATCTGTGAGTGACACCAGTACCTGAGCAGGCACAACACCTTTTTCCTATTGCACTGTAGCTTGGGCTTTGCTTCCCTGAGATTTTCATCCCTAAACGTTTTACTTTGCTTTCCTGTAAGATGTGGAAATGGAAGGGACCACCATTCAATTCTGAAACACAGCAGCCTCCAGTTCCTTATGATTAGGCCACCTTCTTTCTCATCCCACCCCATCCCATCCCACTGTCTGCAGCCACAGGAGCAAACCTGAGAACCAGCATTTCAATAGTCCTAAGGACACTGCCGAAACTGTTCAAGCAGGGCTCCCGCTCCCTCCGCAGACTTCAGTGTAAGGAATGCAGTTTGCAGCAGCACCACCCAGGCAGTCAGTGGGACTCCAGCATTTGTACTGTGGTCCCACAGACCCAGAACAAAAGGACACAGTGCAAACAATTTTGCTGGCCACTTATCAGCAGTGCCAGTGCCTTTGGTGGGATGGGAGTGAGGGAAAGGAACAATGACCACGATGTTGGGCTCTTCTGGCTGAAGATCTATGGCCTCAAAGTTTAGTCTCGTCAGCTTTTAGGGTTGCCCAGGGTCAGAGGAAGGGAGCACAAGGAAGACACAGTAGGACAGAAATCAGCTTTGTGCAGGGCACCACCACCATGCAGCCCTTACCTGCGTGTATGGCATCCTGCTGGTGGAGATGGAGGTGGGAGTGGATGTGGGAATGCTGATGGTGATGAGGTGTCACATTGAGCATCTGCAGCCGGGCCAGAGGGTCATTGCTGAGAGCGGCCACCCGCTCGGCGTGCTGGCGTTCAGCCGCCAAGCGCTCGGCGTAGGACATGTCGGGACGAAGGGTCGGGCCGGCTGCCAGCGCCAGCCTCTCCCGCTCCAAGTGGCCCAGCCCTGGGTGGAAGGGAAAAGCGGGGTGAAGGCCGGGGGCCGTCTGCAGACTCAGCCCGCTGTGGCGTGGGAACGGATCCATGGCAGCAGCTGGCACGGCATGGAGCTGCTCCAACTCGGCCGGTTTGACTTCAAAGCCAGGCTTGAGACGTTCACGCAGGTCGCGGTCCCTCAGGTCTCGTTCGCGGGCCTCCCGCTCCCGCAGCTCGCGCTCCCGCGTGGCCGGGTCGCTGCTGTAGATGGCTGGCACGTTGTAGCCCAGCAGGCCCGGGTCGACGGCGCCCAGGGGCACGTAGAAAGGGTGGTTGCGGTTGCTGGGGGACATGACGTGGGGCCGGGCGTACTCGCTAAGGGTGCGCAGAGCTGGCGTGTCAGGGCCCAGGTACGGGGGAACAGTCGCTACAGCACTGCCCTGCTCGAAGGAGGGGCGGTGCGTAACCGGCCCGAGGGACGAGCACTCGACCGGACGGCCCTCCTGGGCCATCTTCTGCAAAAGAGCAGAGAGACCGGCTTCAGGGTCCCGGCGGGGAGCGGCCGAGGGGGCCCTTGAGCATCCGCCCCGGCTGCGCTGTGGCAGTGGGACTCCCAGACCTACCACACTCCTCTCCAGCTCCCGCTCCTTCTCCCGCTCCCGCTCCTTCTCCCGCTCCCGTTCCCGTTCCCGCTCCTTCTCTTCACGGGCCTTCTGCTCGGCCTCTCGACGCACTTTCTCCACCAAGTCTGCTCTT